GGAATGAGCCGAGTCGATGTCTAAATTTTTGTCACGCACTGCGGGTATATGAAAGGTCACTTGGGAGCTAGAAAGTTTTTGCTATAGTGGATATTGAATACGAACGTTGCACCCTTCGGCTGCTGTCTGTTTGTTTCGTCTCCCGTGTTCCCTTCAACTCCCGGCACAGCCTCTCGCCTCCTTCTCTTGCGCCTATAAAAGGGAGGTCGCTCCTCTTAGAGAGACGCACCAGAACTTCTACTTCCTCTCGCCACCGGTTCCAATCTCTGAGTTGTTGTTATCTTCCTCATCCCGGCTTGCAGCGTGCACCGCGAGTCGGGACAGTAGGCCTCCGAAACCGCACATCTTTGAGTCCTGTATGGGATAAGGGTGATAAGGTTTTTGGGGAGCGCTCAGCGCGACTACTGACTTCTTCGTCACGGATGCACCGGACTCCGACAACTACTTCCCCGACGACCACTACTTCCCCGACGTCGACAACCTCCTCGGCGACATGGCTGGCGAGGACATCGACCCCAAGTCCAGTACTACTGCCGCTGCTGTCACGTATGTGTTCTTCTTCTTTCTGTTAGATGTCCTGCCACAGTTTCTCGTACTAGTACTTGCCCTAGATGTGTTAGGTTCTACTCCATATATGCAACTAGCTCTACTGTCTGCTCTAGATATGTTAGGCTAAAGTTCATATATGCAAATGTTATTTACCTTCTCTATGTCAGAACACATGACTTCTTTTATCTCTACTATATTAGTCATGCTTTATCTAGTATTTCTGTTAATAAAATCATTTGGTAAATTGCTCATATTTCCAACAATCCAAAAACCTTATTGTAGGCAATTTACCCCAAGTGGTTTTGCTGCTTCCATGAGACCTCTTATGCTTGAGGGTATCCACTATAAGAGGTGGCGCGTGAGAGCAGTCTTATGGTTTAAAACCATGAGTTGCTATGATGCCACGCTTGGCAAGCCTGAAGGGGAGTTTGATGCCCAACAGAAACAAGCTTTTCAAAAAATGGATACTCTGTTTAAGGCTGCTCTCTTGAGTGTTCTTGGTGAGAACATAGTTGATGCTTATGCATCAATTGACAATGGAAAATATATGTGGGACGCACTCGAGGCCAAGTTTGGGGTCTCGGATGCCAGCACTGAGCTGTACATCATGGAGCAATTCTATTATTACAAGATGACTGAAGAGCGCTCCGTGGTTGAGCAAGCTCATGAGATACAGTCATTTGCTAGAGAACTTGATCACTTCAACTGTATGCTACCGGACAAGTTTGTTGCCGGAGGTATCATCACCAAGCTTCCTCCTTCGTGGGGGAACTTTGCTACCTTACTGAAGCATAAGAGACAGGAGTTTTCCGTTCCAAATCTCATTGGTACTCTTGATTTTGAAGAAAAGGCGAGAGAAAAGGACACACGTGCTCGAGGTATTAAGGGAGGATCTAGTGCCAATCTGGTACAGACACGTGCTCGAGGTATTAAGGGAGGATCTAGTGCCAATCTGGTACAGAAGAAGAACTTCCAGCCCCACAAGTTCAAGGACAAGGGCAAGTTTGATGGTAAAGCAAAATTTAATGGGAAGAACAAGGATGTGCAACACATGAACTTCAAGAAGAAAGGTGGGGATCCTGATCATTGGGCTCCTAGTTGCCCTAATCGCTATGACAAGCGTCATCCTGGGAAAGGCGGCAAGACTGCTAATGTTTTCATTGGAGACATTGACATGAAGGATGTTGGGTATGGTATATTTCCCACTATTCTTTCAGTATGTCATTCTCCTGATCGGTTGATTGACACGGGTGCTAATGTGCATGTATGCGGTGATATTTCCATGTTTTCGTCTTATCAGACCGCAGGGACTTCAACTGTGCTGATGGGCAACGGTTCAAGTGCTTCTGCTCGTGGTGTTGGCACGGTCGATCTGAAGTTTACTTCGGGGAAGATCGTGCGGCTGAAGGACGTGCATTATGTCCCCTCTGTCAATAAAAAATCTTGTTAGCGGATCTCTTCTGTGTAGAGATGGCTATAAGCTTGTCTTTGAGTCGGATAAATTTGTAATATCCAAGTATGGAACCTTTGTTGGTAAAGGCTATGAGTCAGGAGACCTATTTCGTTTATACTTATCAGACGTTTGCAATAAAGTTGTTAATCATGTTTGCAACAATAGTGAATCAAATGTCTGGCATTCTTGTATTTGTCATGTTAACTTTGGTTGCATGTCGCGACTAGCGAAGTTGAACTTAATCCCTAGTTTCACCACTGTCAAGGGATCTAAGTGTCAAGTTTGTGTGCAAGCTAAGCAACCTCGTAAGTCTCACACGACTACGGAAACGAGAAATCTTGCACCACTAGAGCTCATACATTCAGATCTATGTAAAATGAATGGTGTTTTGACAAAAGGTGGAAAGAAATATTTCATGACGTTAATTGACGACTCCACTAGATATTGTCGTGTGTATCTTCTGAAATATAAGGATGAGGCTTTGAAGTTTTTCAAGATCTATAAAGCTAAAGTGGAAAACCAACTTGATCGGAAAATCAAGAGGCTTAGGTCCGACCGTGGTGGAGAGTATTTTTCCAATGAATTTGATGCTTTTTGTGCGGAACATGGTATAATCCATGAGAGGACGCCTCCCTACTCACCTCAGTCAAATGGGGTGGCCGAAAGAAAGAATCGTACTCTAATTGATTTGGTTAACGCCATGTTAGACACATCGGGTCTTTCCAAGGCATGGTGGGGGGAGGCGATATTGACATCATGTCATGTCCTAAATCGAGTCCCCATAAAGAACAAAGAGATAACTCCATTCGAGGAATGGGAGAAGAAAAGGTTAAAGCTCTCATCTACGAACTTGGGGTTGTTTGGCGAAAGTCAATGTGCCAATTCCAAAGAAGCGCAAGCTTGGACCAAAGACTGTGGATTGTGTTTTCCTGGGATATGCTTCTCATAGCATTGGCTATAGATTCTTGGTTGTAAAATCTGAGGTACCTAACATGCATGTCGGTACGATCATGGAGTCGAATGATGCGACTTTCTTTGAAGATATCTTTCCCATGAAGGATATGGCTACCTCATCTAATCAGGAGGTGCCTAGTTCATCGAATCAGGAACCAGTTACAATTACTGAACCTGCCATTTCGATGGAACACTTTGAAAATCCTGTGGAGGAGAACAATAAAGTTCCTACTAGGAGCAAGAGACAAAGGACTGCAAAGTCCTTTGGTGATGATTTTCTTGTGTATCTCATAAATGATACTCCTAGTTCTATTTCAGAGGCCTATGCATCTGAAGATGCTGACTACTGGAAGGAAGCGGTTCGTAGCGAGATGGATTCCATCTTGGCGAATGAAACTTGAGAGATAACTAATCGTCCTTATGGGTGCAAACCTGTAGGATGCAAATGGGTATTCAAGAATAAGCTTAGGCCTGGTGGTACTATTGAAAAGTACAAGGCTCGGCTCGTGGCTAAGAGTTATACCCAAAAGGAAGGTGAAGACTTCTTTGATACTTACTCACTTGTGGCTCGACTGACCACTATTCGAGTTCTACTTTCACTAGTTGCCTCACATGGTCTTCTCGTTCATCAAATGGATGTTAAGACTGCTTTCCTAAATGGAGAGTTGGAAGAGAAAATTTATATCGAACAACCAGATGGGTTTGTACTAGATGGTCAGGAAGGAAAAGTGTGCAAGTTGCTAAAGTCTTTGTATGGACTCAAGCAAGCACCCAAACAGTGGCATGAGAAGTTTGAAAGAACTTTAACAGCTGCAGGCTTTGTTGTAAACGAAGCTGACAAATGTGTGTACTATCGCCATGGTGGGGGCGAGGAAGTTATCCTTTGCTTGTACGTTGATGACATACTGATTTTCGGAACAAATCTGAATGTAATTAAGGAGGTCAAGGATTTCCTATCTCGCTGTTTTGAGATGAAGGATTTAGGAGTGGCTGATGTCATTCTGAACATCAAGTTGTTGAGAGACAATGATGGTGGGATTACATCACTTCAATCTCACTATGTGGAAACGATCTTGAGTCGCTTTGACTATAGTGACTGCAAGCCCTCTCCAACATCATATGATGCGAGTGTGTTACTTCGAAAGAATCAAGAATTGCTAGAGATCAATTGAAGTATTCTCATATGATTGGCTCGCTTATGTACTTAGCCAATGCTACAAGACCTGACATCTATTTTGCTGTTAGCAAACTGAGTCGGTTTGTCTCAAAACCAGGAGATGAAAAACATATGTCGAAGACATGCATTGTCCAAACATAATAGATTTGTGGACAGAATGAATGCTCACAAAGTTTTCTCCAGACTCTTACTTCATTAATAAATATCAAATTCCTGCATGGTCTTTGTCTGTGGGCACTTCTTTTTATTAGGATTCTTTAAAGAAAGTGTTGTGGCTCTCTCATTGCGAAATTTCTTCATACCAATCATTAATTCTTAAGCAATGTCAGTCTTGGTTGCTGAAGTTTATTGGATAATATATAGGCCCCCTTCGTTTGGGTATAGATTTATGAGAATCAATGAAGTTGTGGATTTCTGAAAATCGAATCAGTTATGATTGAGGATTCTCGAAACCAAGAAGCAGACTGTTTGTTTATTGTGATATTGGACAGCTCCAGGAACAGAGGCGTTGTAAAATGCCAGTAGCGCTCTTGAATGTTGAGTATGATGTTTATAATATATGTTGATTAAGCGCATATTAGGTATGTTTGACCAAAATGCGATAACTGATTTTAACCATAAAGATTGGAAGTTCTGCCAAAGTCTCGCCTCCTCTTAATTTCTGCATTTTACTTCTGCCCCAAAAGCCAGTAGTTCGGAGCGAACACACACAAAGGGAGATAGGACAGAATATGCCTAGCCAAACGCGACACAATGCTTATTGCTCACATCAGTTTTTTCAATACTACAAACATCATCATTACCATCACTCTCCCTTTATTATGCAGTATATGTACATGATGTGTCACTTCCTATGCGTCTGACGAACTACTCGTCTGCCTCGGCCGCCTTCGTCTTCTTTGCCTCGTAGTCCTTCACTGCGGCCTTGATGGCGTCCTCGGCGAGCATGCTGCAGTGGAGCTTCACCGGTGGCAGCGACAGATGCTTGGCGATCTCTCTGAAAATTGAAAATCAAGGTCAGTCAGCAGAAGCTTCAGAGGACTCAAACAGATAGACTGCTAATAGCTCGCCAGAGGCTGGCATGCATAGAACAACTGATGACCACATGCACAGGCCTGAAGAAAGATTAGCATAGTAGCTAGCTTTCCACCTTAACTAACTTGGTAAGAGAATGGCAGTACTGAACAATTAATTAAATAGCTTGCTTACGTGTTCTTGATCGCTACCACTTCCTCCATCTGCTTTCCCTTCACCCACTCAGTGGCTGTACGAGCAAGTATAGATTGATCAGACTACAGAATTCAGGAAATGGTTCCCGAGCTTCGGCATATCTAATAATTGTAATAGCAAGCAAAAAGATTCCACAAGGGCTCATGCATACTATGCAGGGACTAAATATACGGAATGCTTCCTCCAAATTACTAGCTAGGATCAAACAATCGACACGATCATACATAGAACAGCAAAAAATGTACGTAATTGCTCCTCCACATGTCTGATGTGGAGAATTTGGCTGAAAAATTACGATGGTTAATGCATTCGATGAGTAAGCGGGCTTCTTAACAACAGTTACTCCTGAAGCCCAGCTTGAGTTGTCAATTTCTGACTGTATGAAATACCGATAGTTGCAGATATCAATAGTTGGATGCGAACTAATGATTTTCTGTGACAGACAATTATAAGGATGTATGACAACCCGTTTAGATGGGCTTACATATCAACATGAAAAAGAAAAGATAAAAAAACAGTTACTTCTGAAGTACAGCTTAAGTTGTCAATTTCTGAATGTATGAAATACAGATACTTGCAGATATCAACAGTTGGATGCGAACTAATGAATTTCTGTGATAATTGTGAAGATGAATGACAACCCCTTTAGATGGGCTTACATATCAACATGAAAAAGTAAAAATAAATAAACGCATGGACATGGATCCAGATGAAGCTCTTGTTCTTGTGATTCGGTGCGGTGTTAGAAATTAACGCCTGAAGAACATGAACACAAGCTCACGAGACAGAAATATAAAGAAGGCTAGCTAGCGGAGGAAGGAAACTGAGGGGGCGGTCTGCTCAGTGCTCACCGACGGAGGAGGATGCGATGGCGGAGCCGCAGCCGAAGGTCTTGAAGCAGGCGTCGACGATCCTGCCGGAGGCTTGGTCGACGCGGATCTGCATCTTCATGACGTCCCCGCAGGCCGGCGCGCCGACGAGGCCGGTGCCGACGTCGGCGTCGTCCTTGTCGAACGCCCCCACGTTGCGCGGGTTGCTGTAGTGGTCCACCACCCGCTCGTGGTACCCCCTCCTCGCCGCCACCGCCCCCAGCGCCGCCGCGCCGGTGGAGGAGTCACCGGCGAGCGCCCCCGCCGCGCCGATCAGCCTCCTCCCCGCCGCGCGCAGCATCATCGTGATCGTCGGTGGCGTGTCTGCGTTTCTTGAGAGGAGCTTCTGGTGGCGTGAATGTCTCCTCAGTGGCGCGGAGGCAGAGGAGGGAAGAGAGTTGGCTACGCCCAGCCAGCGGGTATATATTCCGTGCTCTTCGGGAGTGGACGCGTGGCGGCGCGCTGCGGTGTGCAGCGCGGGGTGTGCGGTGTCACGAGAATGGCGGTTCGTTCTGCCACGCACTGCTTGTTTGGGCCACTGTTTGACGGGCCTCGCGCTTCACAGGGCCATACACCCACACTTCTCTTGCGCATGTCCTTTCTTTGGGCTTCTCCTGCGCAACCCATGTAAATTCTGGGTGCAGTCCGGTTGATTTCCGAGAGCAACCAGTGGCGTTTTGTGCCCTCCTTATAGCACCCTAAGTGGTACGTCCAGAATAGATGTGTTTCTTTGCGTAAAAAAAATCATGAGTTTCCTTTGCATAAAAAAAAACATGTTTCCACCGCAAGTACATTTTTGCTTTTCGTGCAAGCATAGATGTGCTTCTCGGAAAGAGGAAAAAATTCACGACTTTTTTTGTGCCTGAAATTTTAAGCACAAAGTTGTTCCTCATGGAGGCATAGATTTTGTGCTTCTCAGAAAGGGAAAAATTTCTGATTTTTTGCGCGTTTCTTTTTTTGCTTCCATGAAAAGAACAAATTAGCCTCTCATGAAAAAGTTTATCGCGACCTATTAACATGGTATCTAATTTCGAAGATAATGACACGAGAAATACAATGATGAAAAGGGTTCAGGATTTGGACACACTGTTCAAAAGAGATAAAACGTTTTGAATAAATGAACCTACAAAAAAAAACTGCTAGCTTGCGACAAGAGGCGCACAATGAGCACCTTAGAAGCTAGGGATGACCCTTATAAGGGATAACCTCAACGTGATTTTGTTGATTTTTAAAGACCAAAAGGACGACTCCTCCTATATGACAGATACATGCCTCATATAGAGGAGCAAACGCCCATTCCGGCCTAAATAGGCCGGAAGTGTAGCCGTCATGTTTTAATATTTGGATCAAATATATATACAAATATTAAGTAAATATTTATAAAAATCAAAAAATTAAATAACAAAAATATTTAATAAAATATTTATTTAACAAATGTTCTTTACATTTTTACAACTGTTATGTTTCTATTTACAAAAGGTTTAGCATGTATTTAAAAGTTCATATATCTGAAAAATGTTTAGTTTGTGTTCAAAACCATTGTGTGTACATAGAAATGTTCACCATACATTTACAAAACGTTCAGTGTGTGTTTAAGAAATGTCATGATATATAAAAAATGGTCACCATATACTTATAAAATGTTCAGCTTATGCAAAAATGTTCAATGTATATTAAAGTTAGTTTACCATGTTTTGAATAAATGTTACTATATTTTACAGCATGCTCATCCCGAAAAAAGTAAAAATGGAAAGAAAAAAAGGAAAAAATAGAAAGAACCAAAAACAGAAAAACAAAAAATAGAAACAAAAGGCACAAACAAAATATGAGAAAAAGGCATAAGAAAATAAAATAAATAAATAAATATCACAAAGAGAAAGAACCAACACAGAAAACTGAAAGAATAAATCTGCATAATAAACGACAACAGAAAAACCAAAAAATAATTGAAACAACTCAAGCAGCGCAGCTAACCGCACACTGGGCTGGCCCAACTAGCTTCTCCTGTAAGCTGCGGGCGTCAAATAGGAGTCGCCCAAAAATACTGTTTGTTCATTTGCTCTTCACTGCTGGTTTGTCTCAACTCTTCTAAAAAAAATTCTTGGTTGCCTCAACAAACACTAGTAGATCCAATGTTGTGTAGTATCTATATCTATACCTACTATTAAAGGGAATAGGTATTTTTGGTTTGATTTCGTTTTGTTTCGTTCCCTTTTGAATAATTTTACATACGCTATGTTTTAGTTGGAAACCAAGACGTACATGTAAAAGAAACGAAAATGTAAGCAAAACGGCCGGCCCATATCTCTATTTTTTATATGTCCCAGCGGTGCTGGGCCGAGTCTGGCCTGTGTCGGCTGGCTGAACTGCTGCTCGCTCACGCTCGCTGGAGCGAGCCAAAAAGAATCGGTGCTCACGCTGGAGTCGAACTCCAACCACGCACAAACACAAAAACCTTTGTAACCAACTTATCCAGTTGTCTCCTATGAATTTTCACTGGTTCTTCACTATTTATGCATTACTTTTGACCAAGTTATGTAGGCCAGATTCTCAGTGCGTGTGTGAGGCAAAACAGTGTCTACGTGTAGGATCCGTAAAATAACGTGTAAGGGTTAATTCTCAAAAAGAAAACATGTATGTGTAAAAACTTGCTATTTTGAATTGCCACGTGAAGAACTTGATATGATGACCTTTTTACCTTTTTTTGAGACAATGATGCCCTTTTTACCCGATCCACGGTACTAATGGATGGCTGAGCCTGCCTAAAAAAACATGGGCCGAGTCAAACTAGGCAAGCTGCGCAAGAGGAAAAATGTGATAGATGGGTTCGCTGCCCGGTTAAATAGTACCACCTTGCCTTTTATATTAAATTTTACAGATTTATATATGTGCCTCAAGAATAAGAACAAAAAAAGAATGATGTGTGTGTCGCATCCATCCAGTGGGCATAAAAGGAAAGAGAAATTAATACCTAGGAATTAAATATCCAAAGAGGTGAGGGATCACGGCATATATTCCTGCAAAACAAATACAAATGGCACAAGCGTGTGGACTAATAACACTATGGAATCATACGAGGTAGGAGGGCACGACACGATAGTGGATTTGGGAGGTGAGGCGGGCTAAAATACATTTAGCAAGATTTCTTTACGACTCCATGCGAATTCCAAAAACTTGCTCCAACTTCCAAAAGCTTGCTCCAACTTCCAAATAATGCCTTGGTATGTAGGATTTGAAAATTAGGCCTTTTAAATATCAGAGCAGTTGTTCAAATATCGTACCAAAAATATCATACGTGATGGTTTTTAATGTAGACTTGTAGGCATTCCTGGCCCGGTTGGGTGGCACCATTCAACTATTGTTATTCTGCGTTGTTGTGGAGGACACGTTAATTATTTCTCCCGTTGCAACGCACGGGCATATGTGCTAGTAAAAATTTAAGGTTAATCACATTATCTAGTATTTTTGACTAAACACAAAACCAGAAACCATTAGGATTACTGTAAGGTTCTCCCCATGCGTACGCCTTCAGTTCAGGCCCACTGACTGTCTCCTCAGTCCAGTCCAGCTGCTATACACCAAAAACAGTTTTCCAGGCCACCAAAAAATGGTTTTTCCCTTTGCATTATTCTGCGTGTTGTCCAGGGTAGACGAGCTGCATGCATGCATGCCCGGTTAGCCGCCAGCATCAGGCATCCGGCCACGTGCATAGAGATTCACCCTGCCCGGCTTACTTCTCGTGGACGATGATGCCAGATGCCTCATCGATCTCTGAAAGGTGCCTCATCCTGCACACGGCTATTGTCCGTTGCCAGAAGATGCAACTTGTGACATGATCGAGCTGTCCCCTCTCTCCATAGAAAAAGCCAGGCAGAACGCTGAAACGGAGAAGGCCATGCGCTTTCTTCAGTTAAAGTATAAGATATCTCCCCTGCATCTGTATGTGGAGCCCTTCAACCAGTGGTTTAGTTGCTTTGCTTGCATCGTTATTAGGTTGTACGCGCCGACCGATCTTGACTGAATATATTTTTTACTTGGAGATGTGCGTGCCTGGTTACAGGCTAATCAGCCACCGTGCACCTGCTCAGAGCAGCTTCGGACACAAGAAAGGCCCAGTCCAGAACCGCCCCAGAGATGATCACAGTCCACAACAGTTTATATTAGTGTAATCACACCATCATGCGGTTAATTATTACTCGCTCCGTCCCATAATCTAAGGCGTTTTATGACACTACATTAGTGCCAAAAAACATCTTATATTATAACACAGAGGGAGTAGTATACTAGTAGAAGAAAGTGTAAGATTTACTGTCCAAATAATTAGTAGTAACAAGTCCGAACACCTGTACAGCGACGGCACAACAGCTGCGTGTCCTGGCTGCGTCAAGGTGCAGATCGATCTAGGACTAACTGCATGTTCGGAAGCTCTCCAGTCTCCAGACTCTCAACTCCGCTCCGCGCGAGGAGCTGGGTTTGAACCGCTCCGCGCGATTGTGCTGGCGCTCCCTTCGCTCCGGAAGCTGCAGTTGGGGAGCGAAGGGGATCCGAAGAGGGCCTAACTCATCTGTCCATTGACCTAGTATTAAACTCTAGTAAGTCTTAGCGAGATTGCTCAATGGCACGTACTGTACTGACCTGTGACCTGTCAATATTAATAGATAAACTTATTGTGCGATGCAAAGCCGATCTTCAGAGACAAGGAAAGGTAGCTCCTGGTCGATCAGATTGCTCGATGGCACGTACTGTGCTGTCTATTTCCATAGATAAACTGATCTTGTCATTCAAAGCCGATCTTCCGAGAGAGCGAAGGGTGCCGGCCGGGGTATTCGTCACTAGATTGCTTGCTTGCTTGCCGTTTCCTGTTGACCAAAGCATGGGGCTCTGCCTAGTGCTTTCTCAACGAGACTTTTCCTTCAGAACGTATCCAATCACACTTCGCGCGTGGCATTTGATGATATTTGTTTTTGGCAAAAGAAGGTTGGTTGATTTTACAAGCTTTCGGTGGAGAAGAGGATGCCGTGGCCCCTGGGCCATTTTTGTTCCTAGGAGCAACCGAAATTTCATGAAGAATTGGATTCCTGGGTGGACCGGTACATAAGAGGCGTCATCATCCACTGACATTGGAGCGGAATGAGGACGACTGTTCGGCAACTGAAGCTTGCATCTAGGACAACATAAGAGGCGTCATCATCAACCGGTACATAAGAAAAACATGTATTAAATCCCATGTCTGAACCTTGCTGTACGACGAAGAGCACGGTGGATCCATGCAGTTTGGCATACCAGTCGACCGTAGTATATGGACGTTACCATGAGTATCTACTTGCTGACAAGAACATTCTTTCGTAGATAGAAGCATTATTGTTGGAGCATGGCATGAATGCCACTAAAAGAACGGCTGTGTCCCGCTACTTGCTTGTCAACTTCTCTGCATGGGTCTGGAGTGAGTATATGTCCTCGATCAATTCATCCCCACGTGGAAATTTCACGTTTACTTCTCGGGGACGATGATCCTAGATGCCTCATCCATCTCTGAAAGGTGCCTAATCCCGCACACGGCTATTGTGCGTTGCCCCCGGGAAATAGAGTAACTTTAGGCCACAAGATGCAACGTGTGACATGATCGAGCTGTCCGCTCTCGACCGAGATTATTATACATACATAGAAAAAGGCAGGCAAATCGCTGAAACGGAGAAGGCCATGCGCTTTCTTCAGTTAAAGTAAGATATCTCCCCTGCATCTGTATGTGGAGCCCTTAAACCAATGGTGTAGCTGATTTGCTTGCATGTTAGCTTCTAAGCGCCGATTGATCTTGACTGAATATATTTTTTACTTGGAGATGTGCGTGCGCGGTTACAGGCTAATCAGCCACCGTGCACCTGTTCAGTGTTCAGAGGAGCTTCAGGCACGAGAAAGGCCAGTCCAGAACCACCCAGAGATGACCATAGTCCACAGCAGTTTATATTATAGTGTTCCTAATCGCACCATCATGCCGTTAATTAGTACTACTACACAAATAGGAGTGGTTATATTTAATTTCCCTTATGACGAGTAACAAGTCCAAGCTCCAGGGCTGTATGAAACGGACGCGTGACGAGAAAACTTGCACAGCACAGCGACGGCACATCGCCGGCGTGTCCTGGGCGCATCGAGATGCACATCGGTCGAGGACTAACTCATCATCTGTCAGTTGGCCTAAGCGGTAGCTCCTAATCGACGGGATTGCTCAATGGCACGTATTCAACGTGTCAATATCAATATCAATAGATAAACTGATCGTGCGATTCAAAGACAATTTTTAGAAAAGGAGGATGTACCCCCGGCCTCTGCATCTAGACGATGCATGCAGCCATATTATTAATTATTCACAGAAACCATACAAGGTGATACATCAATAAGCCTAAAACCACCATCTTGGCAACACCGTTGCTACTCCTATCCCCTTGATGAAGGCGTGCCGAATGTCCGGGCCTAATACCAAACAGACATCGCACCAAAGCCTAACATCTAAAGCCGGGTGTCCCATCCAAGCCACTACCTGGATTGGGTCCCACACCGGTCTGGCACACTCCCAGTGAGCACCGCACGCTGCAAGGGCCGTCACCTCCATCATCCCTCGGTCCATCTTCAGAGCATAGTTGCTGCACCAACCTTGCCAGGCCTCTCTGCCATCAACGCCACCATGACGCCAGACAGCTTCCTCCTCCTGCGCGAGTCCATCTCCGCGCATCAGACACCGAGTCTCCACAGCGCCACACCGTCGAGAACCGCCACCATCAATGTGGAAGATGAAGCACCGCTCCACCAAAGACGCCGTCCTCCGGTCCCACGAGCCCGTGTGCATCTCCAAGAATGATGCCCCCAAGGGGGAAACGACACCATAGAGCCGTCGTCATCCGATCTACTGATCTAGGGTTTTCCCCGGAGATAGTAGAGAGTGGCCTTGAACTTCTCCACGGCGATGCCTTCAGAAAGGAAACGACGCAGATAGCGTCGCCGTCACCGGCCTTGGCCATAGCCAAAAGCAGGTTTTCACCCAGATCTAATCGAAGACCTCCATCTCTCGTGCACGGGCCGCCGCCATCCCTGCTGGGATCTCAACGAAGACTCTAAGGAGTGGATCGGCGCCGCGGCGTCGTCATCGTTGTGGCCGCCGTCACCGGCCAAGGGTCTCCCCCGATCCAAAGAGCCTCACCATCCAGTCACTGCCCACCACCCGGATCCGGCGAGCAAGGCCACACCGAAGCCCAGATCGAGCGGGATAAGGTGAAGGAAATGAAGCTAGCGCAGGTCGATCCAGATCTGGCGGCCGGCCGACGGATCACGGCCGCCATGAGATCCCACCACTAGGTCCTCGCCTCCCACGCGCCGGCAAGACGAGCAGCTCCAGGAGTGGTTGTCGATCAGAGGCGCCGTGACCGCTGCACCGGCCACCGCCACGGAGGCCGCACGTCCATTACCAAGGCCGCGAGAGGAAGATCCCGCCGCCGCTGGCCGCCGGCAGGCTTTGCCCGGCGACGTAAGCCAGCGGCGGCGAGGGGGAGACGCCAAGAAGGAAGCGCCGGCGGCGGAGATTAGTTTCCGCCCGTGCCGCCCGTGAGGAGCGATCGCGGGCGTTTTTTTTCTATGAGTCAACCTCCCCCTCTTTTACCCGTCTGCGTCGACAATGAAGGGTGCCGGTGTAAGCGTCACTAGCTTGCTTGCTTGCTTGCCGTTTTCTCTTGACCAAAGCATGGGGCTCTGCTTGGTGCTTTCTCAACGAGACTTTTCCTTCAGACTCTATTCCAGCTGACCTTGAAAGTTGGGACACACTCATGTATTAGGTGCAAGGAAAGAGAATGTATCCAATCACACTTGGCGCGTGGCATTTGATGTTATTTGTTTTTGGCAAAAAAAAAAGGTTGGTTGATCTTACAAGCTTTCAGTGGAGAACATGATGCTGCCCTGGGCCTTTTTTGTTCCTGGGAGCAACCCAAGTTTCATCAAGGATTCGATTTCATTCCGATAACATGGGGGTGGGCCGGTACAGTAGAGGAGCCATCATCCACTGACTGATTTTGGAGCGGGAAGAGAACGACTATTCGGCAGCTGAAGCGAGCATGCACACATACGTGGCAAAACATGTTAAAATATGAATTATAAACATGAGAAACATGAGAAACGCATGTGAAATGCCATGTCTGAATCTTGCTGTATGGTGAAGAGCACGGTGGATACCGATAATTCTACACCTACGAAAAGATCCTAGGTAATCTTACGTATCCAGGGCCGGCCCTGGGGAGGGGCAGGGGCGCGGCCGCCCCGGGCCCCCAAAATCCAGGGGGCCCCGATAGTTGGCTATAGGCCTATGGCTCATACTAGGCAGACGCGCGCCGGGGAGCGGCAGCTCGATCTCCCGATCCCAGCGATTGAGTGTTTGATAGCGAGCGATCAACGGAATTTCCTTTCACATAAAAAAAAGAGCGATCAATTAGCTGCATGGGCGATTTCCTTCCTATTCTGTTCGACCATTCCATCAGGCAGAGCCACGCAACGATTCCAGGTCCCAGCCTAGCTGCTGGCAGCCGACGCCGCCGTGCACGCATGCACGCACTCCCGCCTGGGCACCTCGCCGCCCCCAACCCTCTGGTAATTTCCTTCCTAATTTGTGTATGTTCGCCGCTGATTTCAATTCCGGGCCCTGTTTGGCATTTGCTCAACTATTTTCTTCTCAATCTTATGCAGACTCTAGGCGCTGTGCAGACCCATGTGTATTGTATACGCACATGGACTGAAGTTTGATCATCACTCCGTCAGGTATTGAGGTATATTCATATAATATTGATACAAAAAAAATCCTTTGATGCATAGCCGGCACTGTTCAATAATTGATAGAACAAATGGTTTTGTTTTCAGCATTCTGTGTGTTATTATGACGTCCTCCGGTAAGAGGAAATATTTTAACGTTTTGATTGATATATATGGAGATCACTTATTTGAATGATAGATTCAGATAACTCATGGTGTTTAAAGATATATTCGGATTTTTATTGAGCTCGGGCACCCTGATGTCATTAAGTGACAATGAACTTGAAGAATGTTGCAGCAGAAACTTTCTCTGTTAATGGTTCATTTGATGTTTTTTTTGCGGGAATGGTTCATTTGATGTTGAGGTATACAATCTTATTTCTGAATTGATGATTATGAGATTCACTTTGCCAGATGACGTAATGTCTGCTATGGAGATTTTCGGGCATGTCAGAGAACTTGATTGGTATCCTAATATCTTCATTGTCTATCACATCTTATTTACTGTGCTTGTGACGGTCGCATGGCTCGAAAGAATCTTTTCCGAAGTTGAATTATTGAAGAAATATTTGAGGTCAACAATTACTCAAGAGAGGTTAAATGGTTTGGCTACATTATGCATGGAGGAGAAATTATTGGATGGGATTGACATCGACCTCATCATATGTGACTTTGCATCGAGGAATGTTAGAAGAATTTAAGGTAATATGCATAAATTATTTGATACACATATTAATTTTGGATGCATTTAAGTGTTACTGGTAATAATTTATATATACCTTTTTTGAGAAAAAATATATACATGGATATACGTATATTACAATGAGTGTATATATATTAAGGGCCCCAATTTTTAGTTTGCCCCAGGCCCCCGAAATCTCAGGACCGGCCCTGTACGTATCCTTCCATACATACTCTCCTCCCCCTGATTTAAACTGGGATGGGCCCGAGCCACTAATCCTAAACCAATTAATTACGTTCAAATCAGCATTTACGTAAAAACCTCACGTAACTGTACGTGGGTCTAGTATTGCTCCGGTGGATACATGCGGTAGTACAGTTTGGCGAAGCTACCAGTCGATGGTAGTAAATGGACGTTCCACTAAGTATCTACTTGCTGACAAGAACATTCTTCGTAGATAGAAGCATTATTGTTGGAGCATGGCATGAATGACACTAAATCGGCGAACGTTCGATAACCAGCCTATGCACTGTAGCGTGAAGTGGACACAAGAACCGCTGTGCCCCGCTGCTCACATTCTTGTCAACTTCCCTGAATGGGGCTGACGTTTATATGTTCAATGAATGAAACCCCTGCCAGGTTGAAATTTCACGGTTTCCCTCGCGAATAGAAAGGCTCATTGTTTGTCGGTAAAAAAGACGTGCCGATCCACCGTGGGAGGCTCAGCTCGTGAGGCCAACTCCAATGCGCGACCCGTCGTGTCCGTTCGCATTCGTTTAAGGGTAAACAAACAAAGCAGACCTTCCAACGCGCGGCTGTAAATGGACCGTCGTTCGTTTTCTGTCTGCTTTCAACTCATTCGCGGTCTAAGTTTGGACCGAGTTTGCGGCCGAACGGACACGCGCGGATGACGCATGCTCCTGCCCATGTCCTCCCTTGGCCCGCCCATCGGGGAGACAGACCTCACTTTTTCTACCCCCCCCCCCACTCCAGCCGCACCCCTGCCACTCTCGTCCATCGCTGCCGCCATTGCCGCGGCGCAGCTCGGCCGCGCGCTCGCCCCAACCCTTGTGGCAGCCCCCGTTCCCTCGACGCCCCGAGCTACTCAACCACGACCACCTGATTTGCACCCCCGGCGATCGGATTTGGAGCGGATCCGGCCGGACTTGGGCTCGCCCGGCTGCGGGAGGCCGCGTCGTGCCATGGACTGGCCGGGCACGGGGCCAGAAGGCCCCGGCAAGGCCGCATGCAGGTACTGACTCCGCCTCTAGCCGCTCGGGTCTACACCGTCGGCGGTTCACTTGCAGTTGCACGAACGGTCGTTGGTTGGGCTCGTTGCTGGCCCAAAAACTTGTCGGCGCACCGTTGCCACTCATTAAGTGGGACGACTGCCCAAAGAAGGTCTTGCGCCGCGTGTCTACAATGCCGGAACATCACGGATGGGTGTTCATCAAATGCTCAACCGATAGGGTATGTGCAGGGCCGGGCCGGCAAAATCTAGGGCCCTGTGCGAAACTAAAAAATGAGGCTCTATTTCACTAAAAAATAAACGAGCAATCATAATATACATAACCCTAAAAAGACAATTATAATGTACATAACCCTAAAATAAGTGACTGAACTTTGTACTAACTTTAATACAAAAGTTAATACAAAGTTGAGCCACTTATTTTGGGACGGAGGGAGTATATGATATAATGTCTTATCAAACTAATGTTTCCTCGTGATGACCAAAATCAGTATTATAGAAACACAAGATACAAAATATGAATACAACAAAATTAAACTGATACTCCCTCTGTAAACAAATATAAGAGCGTTTACAACACTGTTTTAGTGATCTAAATGCTCTTATATTTCTTTACGGAAGGAGTACCATTTAACTCAACTAGTCTCTAATTAGAAATTAGGAGTAGAAGCCAAAGTTAATTAGAAAGAAGGACTCTCCAATGGGAGGCTACCTGTTTTGGCGAGAGGATCAGAGGAATTGTCCCCGTGCCGCCCGTCGCCAGTGTTCTGGAGTCTGGAGTTGTCACCCTGCCGCTCCTCGCCGGCGTTCCTGAGTCTGGAATTATTGCCGATCGATCCGACGATTCAATTTCCAATGATCCGACGTAACTCGTCAGAACTGTCGCCGAGGCCGATCGATCCGACAATGGATGATCACGTTTCCTGTAGGATCGATTCATTGTTACCATCTCTTCGTTGGCATGGCTCGTCCCCGCTCGCGCTCTCGCGAAAGCCGCCGCCCCACCACCGTAGTCCACCAGCCTTCCCGGCGGCTGCCGCTCCGGCGCCGCTGGCCACCCAACCTGGCTCGCCTCGGCTTCCGCGCCTGGGCCTCGCCCCGCCCGCGCTGCTCTGGGGCTTCCCCTCCCCCCAGCCCGTTGGGCAACGGCCCTTCTCTGCGCTGGATCTGGATCGGGAGCTAGCCACCCCTCCTCCTCCGCCTCCTGGTCGACCGCCGCGCGACCCGCGGGGGGTGTCCGTGGTTCCAGAGACGCCTCCTGAGCTGCAAAATGCTGCCGCGGTGCCCGCTGGCCCGAGGGCGCGCATTAACTCAGGTAGCTGGGCCGATGTCGTCCAAGGCGAGGGCGGCTGTGCTCTGGAGGCGCATTTAACGCGCACGGCACCCGCGGGGCTCGAGGCTGCAGACGCGTGGGGCTGGGTCACCGTCGCGTCCCGTCGGCCGCGCCGGGCGGCTTTGCCAGACGCACCATTGAAGCCCCGCCATTATGCCCCGCCTTTGAAGCCCCGCCAGGCCACTCCGGAGTGGATTAAAAACCTCTGCTTCCGCTGTCTTATGCCCCGCCATCGCCAAGCCAAGTGCAGAAACCAGATTGTCTGTCGCCGCTGCTTCCAACCAGGCCACCGTGCAAAGTTCTGCTCCAACAAGCCGGCTCCGCATCTCCGACCGGGCGCCTCGCCCGCGCGTCCTCTGCATCCGACCCCTGTGCGTGCGCCGCCCATCCGCCGCCCTCTGGCTGCGGCGCCGTCCCGCCCCGACCCAGCCATGGCCTGGTCCGGCGACCACTCGCAGAGGCCTGCGGAGGTGTTCACGGTGATCCACGGGTCGCCTGCCATGCATCAGGAGGCCGCGTTGCTGGGCTCTCACGCGATGGTTGCCTGGTTAGACCGAGACCTGCGGGCAAGCACGCAGGACATCGCCGCTGCCATCGCTTTTGAGCTGGGCGCTCTGACGGACGACGTCTCTGTCGTCAAACACTTTCCGGAGGCTTACCTCGTCAGGTTCTTCCACCAGCATCACTGCATCGACGCGACAGGGCGCCGAGACCTGCCGTTCCGTGAGACAAGACTGCAGCTGCGCCCTTGGAGCATGGAGGCTCACTCCAGGAGCGTCGACCTCGTCCACCATGTTCGGCTGTGCCTGGATGGTCTCCCGCTGCAGGCGTGGGACGACCACGCCGTCGCGCAGGCCATCGGGCCGGGCTGCTCCATCGACTACATCGAGCCAGCCTCGAGGCTCAAGACGGACTGCGAGGTGCTGGCGGTCTGGGCGTGGACTGCTTCACCGGCCAACGTCCCACGCGTCAACTGGGTGACCCTGCCGGCGCGTGCGGGCGACCAACCGGCGTTCGGTCGGCGCGGCCGGGAGCGGCGGCTGATCGATCCGACGCTAGAGCTAGCGGCCGAGAGCCATGCGCACGCGCACGCGCTAACAGCCCAGAGCCATGCGTGCGGCCCAGCGCCCAGGAACAGCTAACACTAACTTAAATTTTTATGTGTAAAATGGGTGCAATTTTTGGTATTCAGAAGAAGAATACATCGATGTATTGATATAGCTTGTGCTCTTGGATTTGACTAGTTCCTCTGAGCAGACGCTCTATCACTAACTTAAATTTTTATGTGTAGAATGGGTGCAATTTTTGGTATTCAGAAAAAGAATACATCGATATATTGATATAGCATAATTTAGTAGTTGTTCTTGCATTTTTAGCTAGAATAGAGGCTAGAGATAAAACTAGTGCACTTGTTGCTAGAATAGAGGCTAAAGATGAGACTAGGTGCGATGAAGCAACGTCTACATCTTTAGACTCGAAGAAGGAAGAATCACGCAAGATCAAGCCTCCACAGATCAATAATAAATGCATCGAGAAGGCACTAATCCAACTTCAGTTATGGAAGTTGGATATCTTTTAAAATGTCTTCTTGTGGTTCTTGTTTTCTTTGACCTTGCTATTCTAGTCAAGATTTGGTGATGTGCTTCCATGTATCAAAAATCAATGATGAAAATAAAAGATATGTGTTTGCAAAAATAAAATGCATGCAGACCGGATGCGGCCGTGGCGCACGGCCGACGCATCCACAAATTCGAATGGACACGACCCCATTGTCATCCCCAAATGAACGAAACAGACGTCAGTTTAAGGTCGTGTGTTGGAGTTGGCCTGAAGTCGTGATTGTTCACACACAAGCACGGATGACAAAACCCACGACGCCACAAGTAGGGAGCGAGAGACGGAATTGCTCTTAATTATTTTGAAAAAAATTACGAAATTGTATCAGATTTATGGAACACATGTGTTGTGAAAACAATGATTTACTTGGAGACACATGTGCTAGTAGTGTAAAGGAGTAGTAGTCACTAGTGAAAGCAATCGTACTCTGTTTCTTCATTTCCTCTTCACCGTTGGTTTGTCGTGTAACAAAATTTAAGGTTAAACACATTATCATATCCTTTTCATCAAGCTAAGGCCAACTCCACCGCGCGACCCCATCCTGTCCGATCCTGTTCGTTTGGGGTAAAATTAACAAATGAGGCGGCCCAGCGCGCGACGGTCCAGACCCATCTGGTCTGTTTTGTGTTCGGGCCGACCCATTTCAAGCGCATCTTTGCGTCGGGTTTGGGTCGCCGCGGACACCGAAAGGACGCGCTGCTCGTCCGCGTCTGGCCGCGTGGCGGGGCGGCCACCTACCTCCCGCTCGCCAACATCAATGCGCACGAGTGGTAGACCCCACCTGTCATCGGCCCAGTGGAAGGTCGCCGTCCTTCTTA